CATTGAAGAAAATATAGGCGAATTACTGTGGAAATAGAGCGTCAAGACAATGCATAACGAGATAATAACGTTTTCCTTGATCATGCCTTCTTTTAGAGAATTCTTAGACGCCCTCTGCAGATCAGTTTGTTAAAAGGTTTTCTGGTCATGCAGTACTACTTATGTGAAGGAGCTATGTCAACCATATCTAACAGGTTGTCAGAACACAAAGCCGTCTGCAAAGGTATATGTATTCAGAAATATAAGGTGGCTAAACATGTGGTCACAACAGAACACCAGATAGAGTGGTCTAAATCCCAACCTTTTGCAGGATATAAGGACTTCACATCTGAGCGAAAGATCAGGGAGTCGATTGAAATTAATAAAACAAAGAACATTTTGAATAAACGGAACGAATTTAGGAAACTAAGTCATAATTACCTCTGGCTGCTAAATAGAATAAGAGAAAGAGGTAAAAGGAAAGGGGACAGGAAGAGCCATTTAATAAGAGGAGCAATAAACTTGACCAAGCTTGAGCCTGTTCTGGACCTAAAATTGCCAACCAACTCGTGGTTGTTGCATATACACGAGCACACAGCCACGGAGCTCTAGGAATACCCAAGATTACAGTATCATACGTTAGTTTATTTACACAGACAAAAGTTGTGACCACATCCGCTCCCTCTCCTGCATCACTTTGACCCACTTGCATGCATGTACGATAAGCATAACACAGCCAACCAAATCATAGAATGCCTCATAGAAAATCGCAAAGTGAGCTATAAAATGTAAGTAGGATCTTAGCTAAGTTTAAGTTTTTTGGTGATTGTCTGTGAATAATGGTTTCCGGCTCTGACAATGTCCGTAACATGGTGGGTAAAAACTCAGTACATAATTATTTTGATTGTAGGATGGTGAGCCGAAGTCTTCTTCGAACAATTCAACAGACCAAAGTCCAAGACAACCCTCTTTCTGTATTTGGTGAAGCCTATCTACGAATCTCTCCCACCCGACTTCTCAAACGAAACGAAAGGTATACCAGTATTTTTGCTGGGCCATTGAGCCAGCCTCCAGAATAAGACCTCTATGTTAGATTGAGATACCGAAATCAGGATGCTTATGTTAGGCCCGATTAAGGATATATTTTAAGGAAAAGTGGAGGAATAGTATAAATTATAGTAATTACACATAAAACCATAGATATGGTTGCAGCGACCGAGGGGCGCATTCAAATTAAAAATTAATTACCTTAATTCAGATATAAACAGGATTTATCGTATAGGATTTTAAAGTACCCGAAATATTAAAAAGGTAATTTTGGATCGGCGAAATCAGAAGAGCGGGAAAGGTGTCTTTATTTCAATAATTACACTAATCAACCTTATTTTAAAATGGCTATATTCCATTAACTTTATTCTCCTAATATAAAAGCTATGATAATTGACCAATTGTGAGTGACTCTAACAGGAAATTTATCTTGATGAGAAGAATGGTTAAATATGTCAAAGAGTGAAAAGTTGACCCGATTATCCATCTTGATTCAAAATGTTGTTGGAAGCGTTGTTTTACTGCACTTCGAAGGATTGCTATTGCAAAGCTTTGGAAGGCTGTGCTTTCTCTTACCAGCCGATAATAAGAAAACAGAATTCACCAAAAACGCTCCGATTGGTTCGAGGGTCAGCGAGACCTTAAGAAACGTACCTAGTCCAGTGACATCTGCCATAGTAT